TTTTTATTCATAAAAAAATGCCTCCATAACCTTGATAATTGACCTTCATGGGTGCCTGAAGAGAACACTTATCAAAAAGCAGATGAATGTCTTTCTTTGTTCATGCGAGTACTGCCTCAATGAGCCCAGTATATTTCATTCTGTTAAATCTATTATGGTTGCTGGGCTAATACGAACTTCATCGTTGACATAAACTTGCGAGATTTATGCCAAGTGACATCATACACCACCACTGCTACCACGTCATGTATACAAGCTCTCAAACTTCACCATCAGCATTCATGGTTCTAGAGACAAACGCTTAGATGAGCGGACAACCATTCTGAAAACAAACTGTGATGACCTTACAAATGAGAAGATTGTCTTATTCGCTAGAATGGACCTTGTTTTCTCATTTGGCACACATATGTTGCTTTCTTCCCCAACATCGCAAATCAACTTTTGGCCACTCACGTAGCTTAACAGGCAAGATGCAAATGATTCCCATCACATAACTTTTTATTGACGTATGTGGTTAACGGTCTTTTTTTACGCATTTTTAAAGACGATAGTTTTTTTTCGGGCGCTTAGACGCAAAAAGTTTGGTCTGTCTGTTGGTACGTTTGTCTGTTGGTCTGCTGTAACGATACCCTAAACGGCTCCGAACGATACCCCAAACAGCTAATTTATCCGCAGTGCCCACCAATATTGCTCAAGTTTCAGCGTTCATACTTGTGCGATTGTCAATGAAAAAGCAATTATTTTGCATATCTGAGGCACCATAACAACATGACAATATTCTGTGTGTCTTTATACTATAGAAGGCATACATAAGTAATTCTAAAGACTGTAGCGTTTATCACACTGCTCTAACAATGCAACACTATGCTCAAAAAGGCAAGCGTTTCTAACGCTTTGCTAAGATGACACGGTGGAGGCACCTGCCCGTCGAATTGCGTTCTTCACCTTTATCGCCTCTGAAACAGGCGCACACGTCTTACTTAATTTTTAAAGATAACTGCCAGATAGCATGTGTCGATTCTAACATGCCTCGAAGCACTCGTTCGCCTTCGCTGCACAGATCGAGGCACTCTAACTCAGCCCCTGCAGAATACAATTCACCGATTTTCTCGAGCAGAATATCAAATAAACGTTTTGTGCACTTTCTTCAGATGCGAAACTATCGTCTCTCCACAAAATTTGCAGTGAAACATGCAGATATGAGACCAATTTTTTATAATAGTAAGCAACCTAAAATGTGCAGATATGCGTTCAATTGTACTTCGAACTGGGGCACTGCTTTTGCTTGACAATTGACCCAATGCTCACGAGTGAGAGCATGAAAGTTGATAGCTGAGCAGGGCCTATGGGCACCTGCCAACGAGTCGTGAAGTACGCGATGCGCCTTGCTCACGAGGCAGAAAAGGGGCTTCATGCGACAAGTTTCCAGAAAACAATCTGATTGCTTCGTACATTTAAGAACAGTTCAAAACGTCAAAATGGAAGTGTTTAACCGCAGTTGGACTCACTCCTGTAAAAAACAGTGAGCACAACGAACAGTTCTCGAGAACAACTATCAGCATCGCTTCTCAGCATTGCCTTCAAGAATGAACCCAAACTTTTACAGCGAAAGGTGTTACGAGATCACAACAAAGGTGCCGAGTTGTTCGCCGTTGTCCACAACCGCTATCGTACGAAACGAGGAAAGAAAATGAAATAAAAAATACCCAGGAAGGAACGAAGTTCAAACCTGGGTCCTCTATATAGCAGCCCAGTATTCTACCTCAGGGTCAAAACTTTCACAAAAACATACTATACAGGTGTTAGGTCAGGAAGGAACTACGTTAACATGGGTCACATAGTGGTAGAAGGGTAAAATAACAATCAGGTGTCATGAAATGTGACTTGCATAACGAATGGATTATTGAATCCTTTGAACCCATTACAAAAAATTCAGCTATAACTGCTCATCAGCCCCCAAATCAATTATAGCAGTAGTAAGTGCCGTGCAAGTGCACCTGTATTAGCAGCCCCAAAAGAGTTTGGAGCGGATTCTATGAATGGCGCTCTTCCAGCTTTTGCTGCGACTGTGCTGCGCTTTCTGCGCAGGCCTGGCATTTTTTTTTCTCGAGTGGCTTCTCAGTAAAAAAAATTTTGCTTAGATATTACACCGAAGCTGTTTAAATCTAGCCATGATTTGTGTGTGTGCCTATAAAAAAATCGTCATAAAGGGCCACAGAAATTATAGTTAAATTCCACTACTCGCTACTGGTCCACTAAAAATGAAGCGCACAACAGCTAGCCCTGCACATTGGTGTGAAGCGACGGCAACGAGCTAAAAGCTTCGAGAACAAGAGAATACCAGAGAATTGAAAAGGCAATGGCAGCTGTGAGAAGGGCTCGAAGCGATGGAAGGCCAACACAACGCGCCCATAGCTTTACGAGAAGTGCAAACACCCAGTTTCTGTCTTTACAGTTTGGGCATCATGTGTGTGTGGCTCAACTCGAACCTCTCTATGTTGAGAATCGATGTGCATCACCTAGCTAAAGATTAGTCTTCACAATTGTCCACTTCTGTGGTGCAACTTTTGCAAAATTTTTGTTTATCCCACGTTCAGAAACTACCGCTGTAGGATTGAACACTATATAGGGAGAGCTTACTGTTGCACCATAAAAAAAACTGGGTCGAGTAAAATCAGTTTTTAAATTCTTAAACAATTCAATAAAATGGCAGACTGGGTTAGTTGGTTGTGCTTACTTAATTAAGGTTAACAGGGCGGAAATAATACAGAGTGGACAGGGAAAAGACTGGACAAACACTGGTGAACCAGATTAAAAAAAAGATGAAAACAAATGCAAAAATACGAAACACCTAAACATCAACAATCACTAAGCCTGCTATGCAGACCCTCACATCCCAAAAAGCAGAGCTCTCCATCTGACAATGCAACTGACGCTTATGCACGTGCCATCTGACCAGCCTCACAGATTATGCACGTGTGCTCATCTTTAATTTTATCCAGAACTGTGGTCCTTCCAAACTGCACCCACACATGCTCACGTGTAGCGCCAGGAAGTCATCTTTGCCGTAACAAACGCTACTGGTATTTCCATAAGTGCTCGTTTAGGCATCTGCCGGTCTGACCCAAGCAACACACACCACAAGACCACGGGATCCTGTACACCACGCTCAGTCGACAAACTACGTCCTGTGCTTGACCACACACTGTTTACCGCGCCTCTTAACAGAGCAGGTCCTGTTTGCCAATTGGGACAACTTGTCAGGATCACTGAAAACCACTTTTACGTTGAAGCGTTGTCCTATTTCCTTTAGGCGATGTTCGCTTGCCCCCGTCTTTTTCCTGTCTGCCGTGTGCTATTTTCGTGCTGTTAACCTTTAACGCCATACAGCTAAGCAAAAAAAAAAATAGTAGTACAACCATGTTTCCCTCTGATCACTACACCTTAGCAAGCAAAATAGTGGAATCACAGCAACGATGGGTCAAATGACTAATCTCTTCTGAGGCTACTTTGCTTTTGAGTTGGAGATGGATTTGTATACATAGTTTGCATTTACGTCACTACGGCCACCATCTTAGGGCCCCCAGCTGTTTTAAATGCTGCGTGAGCTCAAACTGTGACCTTGGACTTGTGCCAGTGCCCCTCCGATTCCTTTATGTTGCCCCTCGCGAACAGAAGAAAGTTGCCCTGTTGCGGTGGTCAAGTGGCTAAGGTACTTAGCTGCTGACCCGCAGATCGCGGGATCAAATCTCGGCTGCGATGGCTGCATTTTTGATGGAGACGAAAATGCTGTAGGCCCGTGTGCTCAGATTCGGGTGCACGTTAAAGAACCCTAGGCAGTCGAAATTTCCAGAGCACTCCACTACGGCGTCTGTCATAATCATATGGTAGTTTTAGGACGTTAATCCTCACATATCAATCAATCAAATCAATCAACAGGAAAAAGTGGGGAGATCACAAAAGAATGCATTACTCTATGTCCTCTTCTGCAGTGGCACTCTTTAATGAGATAAAAAGTCTCGGTTGCCGCCATCTAAGGGCACCCAGCGCAAAGAACCTGTCTGTAACGTCACGTGAAAACTATGTATACAGCCTCGTCCAACCAATGTAAACATGTGTAAATACGGGTATTTGGTACTATATACTACCTATGAGGTTCAGTTAATTTTTTTTTAATAGTGCAACATCGATAAGCTGTTCTCCATAATCTACCAAAATACCTGAGAGTAGCCTAAGCAAAGCAGCGTATAAAGTCATTAAGATTGTGAAGCACTATGACACATGCATCAGTGTACTGCCTTAACTGAATTAAGTGTGCGGAGAACAATGAAGCATGATAGTAAGTTTATAGAGGTACTGACACATAAGAAAGCAGTTGACTTACTCATGGAAATCTCCAATATACAGAGATGTCTAAGCAAGTGAGAAGCTGAGTAAACGCCGATATGTTAGTCCGATAGTAAAATTACGTTTTGTGAAGTCAAGCTACAGTGTGAATTCTCGCGACTTCAAGTACCAGTATGGTACGTTATGACAATGTGAGGCACCAAAACATTCAAAATGGTCACTTTAACATCACTGAAGAGCCCTGCAGTGGAGCACCCCAGGGACATGTCAAAATGTCTTGTGCAAGCACATGATGAGAAGCTCATACTATGTTGTAATGTCAGGGTGTTGTAAGAACCAATATCAGCTTAATACTAGCTTTTAAGAATATATCATTATTAATTTTTCAGGGCACTCTCACACCAGTACATTTTCTAGGCTCTTGCTATATTCTATCATTTGATGCAAAAAAATAACCAAAAACTTTTGAGTGGGTACCCTTCATGAACATGGTAGATGCGATAAGACAGAAGCCCAAAGCACATTCTAAACATGAATATTGTCACTTCAGGCTAAGCAACATGTAGCTCAGCATAAAGCTAAATTTAGTAGAGTTGGGCAGGCTGGTGCATAAGCTTAACGAAAAAATTTCAACACAAAATGAGCACAAGAGAAGACCCTATGCAGTCTTTTATCGTTTTGACGTACAGCATGCTAAGGACAATAGAAGGAGAAAATAAGCCTTAAAGGTCACTAGAACATGATGTTCCTTATAGTTATACCAATGCAAAATGTTTTGTGTGAACCTCCTTGGATTATGCTAATGCTCCTTCAAGCAAGAACTTTGTCAACTGTACAGCTGCAACTCATGTCATGAATTCAATAGGTACTGGTTTCCCGTGTCAAAGGGCTGTTGATACGCATAACACAGCATACAAGGCTGCTTCTATTTTTATAGAAGCAACTTTGCAAGCATGCTTTTGCTCATTTATCGCCAAGAAGCTTTATTTTCTTCTTCATCCCTAGTGAGCAGCTAATCACATGTCTTCGTCTGTGTCGGACTCTTCTTCGAGTGAAATCTTGGCGTGCGTTTCCGCCTCGGTGTAGACATGGTTGGGCACAAACTGGTGCTGCCCACCGGACTCCTTGCACACCCAGCTGAGCTCCAGCTCAAAGTTCTTGTCCTTGACCTCGTCATGGACAACGTAGATGATTCTAGCCGCTTCCTTGATGAGCTGCCTGCAGTCCATGTCCTTTGAGTTCAGCTTCTCCATCTCAGTCTTGGCCGCTTGGCGTGCCTTGCCAATGGCACAACCAAAGTAGCCCCATGATGTGCCCGATGGGTCGACACAGTAGAGCTGCGGCCCGTCTACGTCATAGCTGCCGAGAAGTACACTACAGCCAAAGGGTCGTACAGCACTGTACAGCGTATAGGCATGCATGTACAGCCCGACACGGTCCTTCAAGTATCTCAGCGGGATAGCCGACCCGTACTCGGAGCGGTAGTTGGATGCTTCCACACGGGCCGTCTCCACCACCTGCGTCCAAAAAAAAAAAAAATAAAGTATACGAAAATCGCATCAGTCAGCTTTTTCCAAAATTTGCAGGGCGCATGCAAAGAGCTGGAAGCCATGTCAATGACTTGCAGCATTGCATCCACACAAAAGAACTTTTCATAAAACAAGCCAAATACTTGCAATTAGCTTGACTCACTTTACCAAATGCAGAATCGCAATATCTGCAGATGTCAGTTACAAAGTGTGAACGTAAGTAATGTACCCCTCCGAGCGCTTGCCAAAATCACAACTGCTCCAATTGGACTTTCCTGGCAATAAAACCTACACCACAGTGCTTCCTACACTACTGCAGGCATGGCACCTCGCTATTCAAGTTGATTCACACTATGTTCGTGCATCTTCTCCACGATTCATCACTAGTAAAAAAACGTAGTCCAGTGTGCGTGTTATGTCACTGCCACTATGCCATCACTGAGAGACCCTCTGTAATCAAGGCATGACAGGAACAGCCTTGCCTACAACAAAAACATTATATTCAGAGCGTTTAAAGTGCCACAACATTATCAGGAGACATGCTGAAGTGGGGTACTTGGATTTACTTGACTAGCTGGGGTCCTTTGGTATGTAAGTAAAACAAAGTACAGAGAGGATTTTTGCAATTTAATCCTCTCAAAAATTTGCCCACTGCAACCAATGAGTCATTAGTTGAAGTGCTGCTGATAGAGGTGCAGGGGCGTCGTACTGAAGAAGAAAGAGAGCCGGTCCGTAATGTAGCAGTCATTCACTACGTTCACGGGGTGTCACAACAGTTCAAGAAGGCAGCTGGATGCAATAACATCCGTGGCTCTTTCAGCACACATGAGGTAGTGTGACCTGTGTCGCCATGCTAAGGAAAAGAGAAAAAGCACAGCAACCAGTTAACACACAAAGCACTTCATCCAGTAGGATACATGTGTCGTGTACGAAATCTTGTGTTTGTATGGCGTGGTGTACATGGGACAAATGGGTGGTGTATCAACGAGAAGCTTTGGGAACACGTCAGTTTATTAAAGACGGGGGTATTAAGTAATCTATCTATGCATTGAGCCAGGCATGGGCGCACCCTAAGCCTGTCTAATGTAAACCGCCTAATGCATTATTGTCAAAGGTGCATTAGAGAGATCCTCAATGCCTTTGCTACGAACCAAACTGGTGAGCAATGTCTAAAGAATCCGCTGCTTGATCCATTCGAAAAAAATCCGCTACCCGACATCACGCACACTATTAAAAGCGCAACCTAATATTTCATCATGGCTTGCTGTATCTATATATACTTAGTTTATTCAATGAAACTTTTAGTTCCCACCATAGGTCGGCAAACTCACTTGTAAGTCGACTCACACGAACTTGGATCAAACCGTGAGGGTATCTGAGTGAGTATGGGAGAGAGAGATATTTTGGCGAGTACGAGTAAGTCCAGTTCAGAAAAATATCAGTGAGTGTCAGTCCGATTTAGCCCTAAGTGCAAAATTCATTTCTTGAGCGAGTCTGATGAGCTTCGTCTTTCAGTGCCGACATATGGTCCTGTTAGGGTGGCTAGAATTGGGAGGTGTGAAAACCGGCTGCTCCAAGCTGGCCCCACCTTCGCGATCCTGCAGCGGTGGCGCTGTAGTCAGAGGCGCTGCCAGCTTGCTTGGTAGGGCGGTAACACTCGCGATGATTCGGCACGATTTTCTCTTCGAAGGCAGGGAGGAGAAGGGGGTTATAAAGCAGTGCTAAATCCCAACTGAGGGAGGGTGGAAGCGCTTGTGCAACACCCTGTTTACACATGTGGCCTGGCGGGGGGGGGGGGGTGCCCCTTATAGACACACCCCTCTCCCGGAGCCTGTGCACTTGCCTCAGTCATTGCTAGATTTTCACTGCTGAAAGAGCTCCATCAATGTAATAAACAACTTTATGAATTCACAATGCACTTACACTGCACTAAGAATAATTCATGGCATTTGTGCCAATTGTGCAAACCTTTACGCAGTTTACAAGTCAGGCAGCCAGACATAAATAGAGCATCAATCAATACGGGCTTGTTGTGTACTGAACCACTGAAAAAACAGGGCTGCTCTTGTGGCTTCTATGCCCCATGCTAGCGCTACTTTTCCGAAAAATTAGACATAATTGAACCGTCGATAATGCAACCATTCTTCAATGAAGTGTTATTTTGAATGAGCCACCATGTACATGTTCGATGAAAGCAAAATGACGTTCACAGGGGTGCAACTGCCGAAATAGAATTTGGAGCAATTTTCGAAGCAGCAGAATCTTACTTTCGGAGCACTAAAATGCAAATTTGGAGCAGGTTATGGGAAATAGTACATTTTTTATCACGAAAGACCAAGTTTGGAGAAAAGAAGGCTTACCTATAAAAAAAAAGCATGTGCAAACAATTCAACATAATCTAAATCATGCAGGGTAAACATGAGCACTGCTGTTTTAATAAAACTGGTATCTACCCCACTGAGCAAACAACGATTAAGTCCACATTAGCATTTGCCGCATCTGTAAAATCTTTTGAGAGAATCTATGAAACTGAGGAGTAGGGGTGGCAAAAAAAAAAACTTGCGCAGTTTAGTTTTTTTTTTTCATGGCAACAGAAGTGTTATATACTGCTCCAAATCATTGCCAGTAACTTTTTCAGACATCAGCGATCATACTAGTGCTCATAATTAAGCAGTAATATACACAAATCAGTAATTGAACGAAATTCGCTCTCCCATGAGTAGTGTTAACAGCCCTTTCCAAATCATAACACGCTTTTTCCCAGGGCACCAGTATATTGCGGCAAAAGTGCTTTAAGTGGCATTCTGCATGGGTTAGACCAAGGTCAAGAAATTTTCAAACACCGCTTTTTTTTTTTACAATGGGGGGTTAGGTTTAAGTCGCAACATCTATGCTCGCTTGCAAGGTGCAGCCTATCAGATAAAGTAACAGTGGCACACGCCCGTTGGTGCGGCGACAGCACTGGATATCTATTGCCAGAACGACACAACTAACATAACTTTAAGATAAAAAATTAATTTATGTGCCGTTGCTATGGCGACCAATGTGGTTGCCAGCAAGGGCGGCGTTCGCAACATGTCGACTCTGTTCGCACGTGAAAAACGCGGTATGCGCTCTTAGCTTTAAATGCTAACATGCCATAGCGACTTTTGCTGACTAGGAAGTGCATATTTCCCACGAAGAGTTTGTGGCTACGGCAATGCATTTTCGTCTTGAAGTTGCGTCGACCCGTCGAAAGTATTGTTGGCCTCCATTTCTCGCTGAAATTAGCAGAGCTGAGAAAATTTTGAGGCAGGTTGAACAATTTGGTGCAGCGTGGCGCTATTTCAGCTAAGTTTATGGTTTCATGCAGTTCGGCGCAAAAGTGGAGAATAGCATCAAATTGGCGCAGCTGTTGCACCCCTGTCTTCATGTTCTTAATATTTATTTACAAGATTATGGAGTAAACAGAAAGCTTCTTCAAGCGGGCCATTATATGATTTAGGAAGTTTTCTAGCATTATCACACGATAACCTTTGATAGTGTATTGTCACATACTAATTGTACCTTGATAGTGCGAGTAGCCTTGTCCATTTGTTCAATCCTTACCTTTTATTAAATACTGAACTGTAATTACGCTTGAGGTCGCACCATCATAGAGCCAGTATGTTCTCAAATTTGCATAGGAATCGATTCAGATACCATTGCTTTCATGGCTCCAACCAAATTAATGAACACTGTATTATGATAAAGTAGCCTGGTGGATGTTCTTTTCGCTTATGCCTTGTTTAAATTCCCATTAAAGGAAAATGAACATTCGATTGTGATGCAAACAAATTTGACCACAGATTTGGTCAATCGCTTATGTGTTCAATGCAGCCAATTTCTGCAAACAAGCTGCCTACTATCCTTGTATGAGGCGCAATGTGCGAAAAACATGTGTCAGCCTGCTTTACATTATCTGCTTGTGAAGTTGTATAGTCACTCGGGTGGGTACAGCAGTCCTGAAATTTTCACTTTTCTAGTTAATTTACTTTTGCAGCTGCTTTGCTATGCTTTATATGGGCACAATGTGTGCATTTTTGTTATTTGTGCATACAATACTCAAGGTCAGCATTGCTGCATTGCTCTATATACTCATTGAAAACATAATGAAGTAAAAATGAAGTAAAGATGAATGCACTCATCAAAGCAATCATTCAGTTCTTCAAGAGCTCGACAAAGCATTTAGTAATATAGGTGGGTGTGTTTCTCAAACATGAGCGTAAAATCTTTTACAGCACTTGTTTGGATTCACTACCTTTACCTTGAGCCGAAATGTTTGTTTTTCTTAGATGGCTGAATTTTCCTGTATACCTTCATTCCCATTATAATGGTGGTACAAGCCGCAGTTCTTCCATATACCTTTTTTTTTTTTTTATTTCGGCCCCACATTAAAGAATTGTAGCTCTACCAGCCTGGGGTTAACAAGCTCCTAAACTGCACGTCTATCAACATGCCAGCGCACGGAAAAGTAATACATTTGCTGTGCATGTTTCGTACCCCCTGAATCCCAGTGCCCGACATGAAACGCACTCCTTGTGTTTTGAAATTTCATAGATGCCATTTATCTCAATGCACACTAACACAAAGTACTCTTAAAACCACGTGGAACACCGACGAAGTTGACAAGCTCCCGTTGCAGTGGCCTACACTACTGGGTCTCTTCCAAGTCAACGGGCAGCGCCTCCGGGCAAGGAAAACACTGCTCACTTTTCAAACCTCCCCATTCTAGCCACCCTAGTCCCCGCACCCTGTCTACTCATCTTCAGCATAACTACCGGCCTTAAATCGGCTTGTGTGTAGTTCATTCACACATATCTTAATAAATTAGTGTTCATGTGCCACCTCAGTGTTTGTCACAGGTGTGAGATAGGGGAGAGGTTTCATGACCTCCCCTCTCAAACACTTTCACAGGAAGTTTTCTATAAAAATACTTGGTGCGACTTGCATATTTCAGTAAATTTCCTTACTACATTGAAATCGCCAATAATGCACATAAAAGCTACAAGCTCCAGAGCAGGGATGCAACAGCCAAAATAAAATTTGGAGTAATTTTCGGAGCAGAAAAATTTTACTTTTGGAGCGCTAAGATGCAAATTTGGAGCAAGTTTTGGAAAAAAAAAAAAACATTTTTATAACAAAATACCGAATTTGGAGCCCCATAAAAAGATATAGAAACATTTTGATATAAACAAAAGATATAAAAAACATTTAGGAAAAAAGTAATTAAAAACCATTCGACATCCCCTGAATGGCGCAGTGTCAAGATGAGCACTGCTATTCAATAAAAGTAGTATCTTTAACCACCCCTTTGAGCAAACAATGATAAAGTCCATATTAGCACTTGCCACATTTTTCAAATACTTTGACAGACTCTGCGAATTCAAATGTGAATCTTCTAGGCTGGCGGCTTTGAAAATCAGAGGAATAATAAAACTAGGGAGTAGGGGTGGCAAAAAACAACAACAAAAGAAAACAGTCACAGTTTTTTTAAGGCGCCAGTAATGTCATACACTGCTCCAAATACACACTAGTACTCGCAGTTATGCGGCATATACACGCATGAGTAATTGAACAAAACGAGCTGTGTCCCGTGACTAGTGCTAAGAGCCCCTTCCAAATCATAATACCCTTTTCCACAGGACACGGGTGCACTGCAGCAAACGTGGCTTAAGCAGCGTTCTGCACGGGTTAGAGCAAGCGAAGAAATTTTCGAACACCACGTCAACCCCCCCCCCCCCCCCCCTTTTTTTTTTTCATGATGGGGTTAGGTTTAGGCCACAACTTCTCAGCTCACTTGCAAGATGCGTTCTACCGGATAAAGTAACAACAGCACGTGGCCTTAGATCCGGCAACACCTCCGGATATTTATCACCTGGACGACAACACAACTAAGGTAATCTAAAGACAGGAAATTTTTTTTAAGCGCATTTGCTATGGCGACCGACGTGGTCACCAGCAGCGCGTTGGTGCCTACAGCAACGCATTTGTCTAGAACTTTCGTCATTCTTCTGAGAGGTATCCACTGCGGCGAACGGACCGATGGGTGCGCGGCTTTATTACTTTAACTGGTCAATTGCGTCTCGCGAGTGCCGTGAACTATTAGAAATATATCCGACACCCCGGTGTAGGGTCTGCGTGCTCGGATTGATTGACGACGCAAGCTAAAGGTTACCAATGTGGCCTCTATTTCTCGCTGAAATCAGCACAACTGAGAAAATTTTGAGGCTGGTCGTGCATTTTAGTGCAGCATGGCGCAATTTGAGCGAAGTTCATGGTTTTGGTGCAGCTCGGCGCAGAAATGAGAATGTGTATCGAATTGGCGAAGCTGTTGCACCCCTGCAAAAGGCGTGTCATAGAACTTCAATTTATTTATTTACTTGAACTACTTTACATAGCCCCATGGACATTGAGTAAGGGGGCATTACAGAAATTTTATACACAAAGGTATAAGCCCTATTCACATGAAGAAGCAAAATTTTATATGCAAGAAGAGAGCACGTAAAACATAGAATTAGTACAATCAAAATTCCATAAAAGGTGAATGATACAAGAACCAGCAGAAAATATAACAATAAAAAGTGAAATACAAGTTGTGTTGTATATTATAAGGCATAATAAAATACCAACATGATTACAGGTGACACAATGAATACTTTGCGTGAAGAAATAAAATACCTAAGCAAATTGGCATAAAAGAGCACAGACACCATAAAAGCTATTTTTGCGATAACAGACTCATGGGTTGACTCACTCGGGCTCAGGTCAAGGCCCGAGTCAGAGCGAGTCTGGCTGAGTAATATGCTGCAGAGTTTGAGTCTGACTGAGAAAAAGTTTGGGTGGTCTGAGTGAGTTCAGCTGGGGCAAGTTTTGCGAGTTTGAATGCAGCGAGTCCAAGCAACAATATATATACCTTGAGTGAGCCTCCCCCCACCCCCCCTTTTTTTTTTGCCAACCTATGGTTTACAGCAGTCAGTGGCCATCCTGGTGTCAGCTTCCTTCGTCCTGGGTTTGCACTTTTTTTCTACTTTTGAATTATGCACAAATTGTCCTGCATTTCACCACTAACCTGTGGCCCCACACTCATGAATATGAGTAATGATTGCCATGCTGTCATGTGACATTAGATGCACATGCACACTTGTGCAAGCCAGCTCTAACGTCATGATTGGCATGACGAAGATCAAAATCATTTCCTGTATCTTCCACATTATTTCAATTGTAGATGAAAAGCATTACATTAAAAAATAGATGTACGGGAATCTAGAATGACTGTCTCTAAAAGCTTCTTTTTTATGCAACACTTAGGTTATGAAAACAAGAAGTTGGCAGATCCCACGTAGAGTGGGAATCGACGATGTGCGAAGCACGAATGAAAAAGGTTGATATATATTTAAATTTAAAATCAGCACAATGTCACGAGGTGGAGGTAAAAGATGCCGTACATGACTTCCGTATCACGATTATCATGTTTAGATGTATCATTTACCTTCGTCATCTATTGACGTCACCTGATACCAAATTTAGTTTATGTGGAGCTAGCGAAACGATCGCGAGCATGCTATGAGCATGGTATGTTGTCATGTTCTTACATGACACGCGTGTCAGGATTATCATATATTTCGGCATTCATTGACGTCACGCAACACCAAAGCCGATATATGTGGAGCTAGTAAAACCATCGTGAGCGCATCATGAAGGGCCCAATATACTCCAATGTAGTGTTGACGCACGCACACGCTAGACACAGCCATGCTACTTTAGCAAAATGTGAGCACTCTATAGTCTGACGCCAGGCGCGACCAGCGTCCGTCGGCAACCGGTGCTAAATGCGACATACTGCATTTTGCGCCGATGCGTTACCAAGACAACACTGCGTCTCCCTCTTTTCATGACTGAGGGACGCCGGATGCGCTGAAACACGAATGCGTCAAAGCAACGCAGCGTGCGCCTGCAAGTATATGGAAGGACCCACGCCTGGTGTGCGAACGCCGGCGTGACGAAATGAACGCCGGCGAGCACGCGCACCGCGTCACGTCGAAATGTATTGGCACCTTGACTGCGGCATGTACACTCATGTTCTTACATGACACACATCTCATGATTATCATGTGTGCACCAGTCACATACCTTCGTCATCCATTGACGTCGCGTAATATCAAATTTGGCATACGGGAAGCTAGCGAAACGACCACGAGCGCATCATGAGCGTGGCATGTAGTCATGTTACATGACATGCATGTCATGATTTTCATGTTAGGGTCTGTCGCTTGTATCCGCCATACAGGCATGTCATACCATACCAGTTTTGCAACATTCCATGTGAACGAAACCACCGCAGGAGCTACAGGACCATCAAATGTAAATCACGACATACATGTCACGATTTTAATGTTTTGACTAGTCAAATATGTTCTTCATACAGTCATGTTATGCCATGCCAAGTTTAGTATCGATACCATCATCGAAACGGCCAGGAGAGCTAAAAGTCGTAGGTGGCTAGATAGATAGATGGATACGCTCAAAGTCACCGAAGTTCACTATTAAATGCTTCGCATTTAAAAACAGTTCGCAAGTGTACAAGTGTTAATGCTAATTATGCATACTATAACACAACTAAAACATTGTCAGGGTTAGGAATTATGCAAGTGCTGTCAAAGCAACAACCTGAGAATTGCTGGGGAATAACAAAAGACATGCAACATACTTTCTTAACTGTGTGCAGCATTTCTTCCCAACTTTGCAGTTCTGTCTGAAAATGAAGTGCATTTTACGTTTTCACAGACATTTCCCTCCACTGGCAAACCCAAAAAGCTGCATGGTGCATTTCAGTGCTTTCACTGTTGCACCCCCCATTCGTGTATCTTTGTTGACCATGCAGCGCCAATTTTCATCACAGCTGCAATGCAATGGACAGGACAAAAGGCTGATGCTAGCCAAACTTATGATGGCACATTTCTGTCAATTCATGCTGCGATAGCTTGCTAAAGCAGCACGCGTCATAAACACGGCCACGCAAGTGTCTGCAAAGAGTCATCTGAGCGCTGGTTTAGGCGGATAATAAAACGACTACCTAGTCAAATTAGTACGCGCTGCACACAGGCACTTGTACGGCATCAGTTTCAGACCCGGTAACGGAGTTCTTTCCTGTTTGGGATAATTAGTTCCTCTTCAACCACTACAGGGGGCCCTAATAAGATAAATGTGTACTTATCTCAAACCTACACTGCCGTGAATGTTCATTTCGCAGCACGATTGCGGACAACACGCCTCGGAACATGAGGAGACAGCTCGATACAGCGGGAACGTTCGGGCCACATCTTAGTGCGATGAATCTGCTTCGTTAGAAGGCCATCAGCCAAAGCTGCGCATAAGTGCAGCTTATCAGGTACTGAAGCTATGTCAAAAAAATTACTGAATATCAGTTGTTCGGTAGCAACGATTCCACCAATCACAACTCTACTGGGGTTCAGTGGTCAGAAAACGCTCGTCAACGAGAAACTAGCGATGCGCGGCTGTCCATAACACCACGGAACACTTCGTTCGGCAAGATTACAAGGCCTGAATGGGATAATACATGGGGAAAAAATGGGCGCACGGTGCCTCATCTTTACTGGTTGCGCGAGCATGACCCAGCTAGTCCCATTACCTGCTTGGCGTCAGCGAGGAGTCCCGCAACAGCCACTCCAACGTGCTTGTCGACGGTGAAGATGCGCTTGTTCGCTCCGGCCTCGTACAGCTTCGATGTGACGAGCTTCTCGACGGCAAAAACGACTCCGTCGCGGCCACGCAGGGCTAGGGCAGTGCCGCTGTTTTCGACCGCCTTCTGGGCGTACTCCACCTGAAACACACGCCCGTCGGGCGAGAATTGCGACGCGGAGAGATCGTAGCCCGTTCCGATTGAACTCATCGCTACCCGTAGACGGTGAAATTGGGCCCGAGATGTCTTCACACAAAGAGACCGAGTAGGCCCTCAAGCAACGCCGCGTTGCTTTAACACGACTTTCGCTCAATCACGGTTGATGTCGCTGACGTTACGATTGCGTGCAGGGGTGACCAAAAACTTTTGCAATTTGACGAGTGTTTGGTCAACTATTAGCAAATACTAAAAAAAAACTAAGACGTTATGTTTTTTTTCATTATGTACTCAAAGGGACGTTCATTGTCACCGCTTGTTGCTAAAAATTTCTCCCAAGTTAGGGCCAAGTTCCAGCAATGGCCGTAGAGGGCGAAAAAACCGAGCGTGGCTAGTTTTTATCCAAGGTGGTCTATTAGGTGTTCTGTGAGGAGGTTCTGTAGAACCAAGGAGGTTATACTAAAACTTCTGGAGTTGTGGTCCCGCATGCGACATTACATTCCAGCACCGTTCCATGGATGGATATGGCTGTACCCTTTAGATCGGGCAGTGGCTAGCGCCACTAAGCCGTAATACTTAATGAATCAAAATCTAGGTTTATTTTTTTTTTTCCTTAAATAGTGAGGTTGGGGATTCGTACTTTGCAGTGAAGGGTTTAATTTTCACTCGTGCCTGCACTTTAGCCACCAATCAGATAACCTCTTTGTAGATAATTCTACCCGCTTAAAGTCTGTTTTGCCCTCCCTGTCCCTAAACCCCAGTGCTTTGAAAAAACTCTGCGTCATCATCCTGAACTATAGGGTGAAGACTTTTACAGAACATTATCAAGTGTTCGGCAGTTTCTTCTTCCTCTCCACACGCACTGCATACCGTGTCTACCCGTTCGTATTTGGCCCGATATGTCTTGGTTCGCAGTACTCCCGTCCTGGCCTCAAACAGCAGAGAACTACCCCAAGTATTATCATAGATCCTTTCCTTGGCGATTTCCTGCTTAAAAGTTCGATAGATCTCTAGTGCGGACTTCTTAATCATGCCCATTCTCCATTTGTCAGTCTTCATTTCCTTCACTTTCTTCTTAACCGATAGTTCTTTTTGGTTTGGCCACCTGCTGTTTTCCAAGTATTTACCAGTCAATTTTCTGGTTTGCTTCCTCCATTTTGTATCGACATTCTTCATGTACAAGTAGCTGAATACCTTCCTAGCCCAACGCTCCTCCCCCATTTCTCTCAATTGCTTATCAAATTTTATGGTGCTGCTAGCTTCCATGTCCTCAAATGATGTCCATTCCATATCACCTTGTGATCTCTGATTTGGTGTATTCCCGTGAGCTCCTAAGGCAAGCTTACCTATACCACGTTGCTTAATTTTTAATCTTGCTTGAACTTCTGATCTCATGCACAAGACCGCATTGCCGAACATCAGACCAGGAACCATAACCCCTTTCCATATGCCTCTCACAACATCATACCTACTGTAATTCCACAGTGCCCTGTTTTTCATTACCACTGCATTTCTGTTACCTTAAGTCGTCACGTATATTTCGTGTTCCCTCAGGTACTCGGTCCCATTGCTTATCCATACGCCCAGATATTTGTATTTATCTGTTATCTCTAGCATGACCTCCTGTATTCTAAGCTCACTACCTTCATTGTCATAAAAAATCATGACTGCTGATTTTTCCTTACTGAATCTGAAATCTAACCTATCTCCCTCATTACCGCAGATGTCCACCAATCTCTGCAAATCTTCCTTGTTGTCGGCCATTAGCACTATATCATCTGCGTACATCAATGCTGGTAGTGCCTGTTCAATGAGTTTTCCTTGTTTGACGAAAGAGAGGTTGAAGCCCAGTCCACTTCCCTCGAATTCGGCCTCTAATCCTTGTAGATACCTCATGAATAATAAGCGTGACAGGGGACACCCCTGCCTAAGCCTCCGTTTTACCTCTGCAGGCTTGAATACCTGTTTTTCCCACTTTATAACTACTTTGTTACCTTTCTAGATATCCTTTAAAAGATAAGTGACCACATCTTCCACGCCTAGTATGTCCAGTATTCCCCACAATTCCTCTTGAACCACGCTATCGTACGCTCCCTTGATATCCAAAAATGCTAGCCACAGGGGCCTGTGTTCCTTTTCTGCTATTTCGATGCACTGCGTCAGTGAGAACAGATTGTCTTCCAACCTCCTGTGTTTCCGAAACCCATTCTGTAGTTCCCCCAGCACTCCCTCATCCTCTATCCATGCCTGCAGTCTTTCCTTTATAATCTGCATCGCCAGCCTCTAGACCACTGATGTCACTGTTATAGGTAAGTAGTTGTTTATGTCAGCTTTGTCCCCCTTCCCTTTATAGATCATGCTCAGCCTGCTAAGTTTCCATCCATTGGGAACTTCTCCATCGATTATTATTTTGCTAACTGCCTCTCTCAAAGCCTGCTTAGACTTCGGACCTAATGTCTGTATTAGCGTAATTGGAATGCCATCTGGGCCTGTTGATGTACTACTAGGAATCCTTTTCTCAGCCCTTTCCCACTCTTGTTGTGAAAATGAAGCCATTGCGCCACTTGATTCATTCTTGTCTATTGTGGTGCATAAAGCACTTCTTTGTTGAAAATTTTCTGTCATCCTTGTTCTTATATATTCAATAGCTTTGTCCCCTTCTAGCCTAGCATCTTGAGCTGTAGTTATAAGCCTCTGCTTTAGGCTCGTCTCATTTCTTAGTGAGTTTAGATGGTTCCAAAACTTCGCAGCTGCCAAGCTTTTTTATGTACTTCTGCGAGCCACTGAGCTCGCTTTCTTTTAATCTTTTCATTGATCAGAATGGATGCATCCCTTCTACAGCTTAGAAAGTTTTCCCATTTTCTTTCAACATCATCTGTCGATTCACCCCGCTGCTTAGCATGTCTGTGTTTCCTAGAGGCTTCCTGACGTTTTGCTATGGCTCTCTTAACTCCCTCATCCCGCCAACTTTTCGGTTTGTGTCTTCTGTTCCTGGGTGACTTGTCACATGCCTTAGCAAGCTCTAGCTCAATCAGTCCAATTAGATTCGTGTATGTCCACACTGTTTTATTATCTTCAGTGATTACTTTCTCAATTTGTTTAGTAGCTATTTCTATTTGCTTTTCTGAATAAAAATTTGCCTGTAGTTGCTCATCTTGTCTCCTTCCCACTTTCACTGCTCTTCCAAAACTTAGCCTGAAACGTTTGTAATCACTACCCAGACTTCTGGAGCCACCTTCATCTATGTGCATTCCCCTGAGCTTATCATACATCCTATGTGACATCAGTGCGTAATCTATCGTCGACTGCAGCCTTGCTACCTCCCATGTTATTTGCCCTTCACACTTCTCGGTCCAGTTGCAAATGATCAAATCAAGCCTTTCACACATATCCATGATCATTTTGCCTGTCGGGTCGGTATACCCATCTATATCTTCTATGTGCGCATTCATATCTCCTAGTAAAATTATCCCGCACTCTCCTCCTAACTCCTGAATGTCATTTGATATACACTCTACCATTGCCTGGTTTTCCTCTCTGGCCTTTGCTCCCGTCCACAAGTACACGAAACAAAGGAGTGTCATTTGCCCTGCCACTTTCCCTTTTAGCCATAAATGTTTCTTGCACTCCTGATTGACCATTTGCCAGTCGGTACTTTTATGAATGAATGCCCCAATACCACCCGCCTTTCTGCGGCCTTCTGTTCTATTACAATATTCCACACGCGTAGTCCGCATTGTTAGGAGGTTGTTTCATGTCCCTGAGATGTGTTTCTACAAAACCATAAACCATCGGCCTCTCCTCCCTTAGGTGTTCTTCTATCTCTTCCCACTTCAGCCTGTTCCTACCACCCTGCATGTTAATATACCCTATGTCTGGATTGGCTCAGCGCTCGTGGCTACGTCTTTTTCTGCCCCGGACTCTACCTATCTTAGATACTAGTGCCACTTTGGAATCGTATCTGTCTATACCACCTGTCAAAGAGTCTCCCTGGTTTTTTTCCTTGTTACTAGCTATCCTGCACCCCGAAGGGCCCGCTTGCCCCCTAAAAAAGCTACTGCGCGTCCTGCAAGTCACCGACCCACCTCATGACCTAGCCGCCCATCGAAGTGAATTCTGTCTCATTTAAAACCACCCCACCTGTGCAGCTCTCTGTTTATTTCCACCACTTCAAAGCCTTTCTCTCGACTCATCTGCCATATCTCTTCGTTTGCAATGACAACCGCTCTTTGCAGGTTGCTATCACGCACCGGTACCTCCGGTATCGTGCATATCACTTTCTGTACCTGAGGAGAAGTGGTGCGCATGTCATCGACGCCTTTCGCCAGTGTGGTTGCTAGTCCTGATGTATCTTCATTTAAGACATCGTTTAAACTGCCTGAAGTTATCACGAGGTTTCGTCTATCAGCTGTAGTTTTGAGTTTTGCGCTCGCTTGCCTCATGACTGCTTCCAGCTTGCGTCCTGGGAACGCCCCTACTGCAACCCTCTTGTCACCTCTTATCCTCTTTTTGATGGCTTTTGTGCATCGATTTAAATTCGAGTCCCCGGCGATTATCACATGCTGTGACTTTTCAGCTGGATCGTCCTGCACCTGGGGGTTACTTGCACCTGTGACGCCGGCTGCTTTGTACCCTCCCCGCCCCATCACTACTTCGCTGAAGCTGGGCCTTGCGACAATTGAACTGGCTGAACCTGTTTTTTCCAAACTCGCTTGCTCTTTCTTCTCCGCTGTTATGGTTGCTGGTTCCCTACTGTTCTCTCCATAGGCCGCTCCTCTGTTCACCTTGGCCAGTGCTTCCTAGGTGGACTTCAGCCTTTCTCCCATAGCCATCGTTTTATCTTGCTCTGTCGCCAATGAAGTCTCGAGCTCGGTGATTCTTACCAGTGGGTGATAATTTGCTCTGATTTAACAGGTGCTGTTTCAATTGCTATGCGTTTGCACAGATTGTCAAACACATCACAAATGATCTAATAACAAGTGCCTCAACTTAGTAAACAGAAAACATGTATAATTAAAATGTGGTGTTTTATTGTATCTCATGAAGAGGGTAATATCATTCAGTAAAAGCATTGCTGGTGATATCCATAGTCATAGAACTAATTGAATTTAAGTAATTAGTATTGAGGTTCCACTTTGTTGCATGTACATTTAGTAGCACCATATTTATCCTCTTCTTTA